ACACTGCGGGGGCGGATGCGCCGTCCTCGACCCCCTGACTACAGTGGACCGTCATTATCATCATCCTCTCCCGTCCTCCTCTTCCCCGGCTATTTGCAGCTCGCGCCTACAGCAACACGAGAATCGACAAGGAAGCTGCTTTCCCGCTCTTTGAAAAGAGGGGCGGAGAACTCGCATTCCAGACGCATCCTGCTATGAAGAAGCAGAATTCACTACTGTTCCTCGAATTTGCAACTTGGCTTTCTTTCCTGGCCAGCCGTGCCGCCACGGTCTGTGTCCGAAGTGCGAAGTGCCCCTACTGGAGTGCCGAAGTGCCCCTACTGGAGGCTCCCGAGTCCGAAGTGTCCCAAGTGGAGGCTCCGCAGTTGCCCGCGGCAGCATTTTGAATACCAGCAGAACCAAAGGGGCGGCCACAGGGGCATTAGGTCCCGCGGGTTCCTTGCGCACTGTGTTGGGCCGAGGTTCGTTCGATCCAAAAAGTGCGTGTGTTTCTGTTCTTTGGGCGGCCACGCATCTTGTGGCGCCTCAGTGTAGGCAGTCCACGGGCAGCAGTTTACTCTCTGGCCGGGGTCATTCTCACCCGTGACATCTCCAGCCTCCTATAATCGGTGAAGATTGGGTCATGATGGCGACGAGTGTTGTTAATGGACATGCGCATACATCACGGTGAACACAGTTTATAACAAAAGTGGCACAGGGATGGAAATCGAACATATGTTGAATCAAACCAGGCGGGGCCCGTCGCATCAAGTGACATCATTCTGTCAATGTTACGGGAGAGCGTCTCGTTTGCATTGCGCGTTGCATTCTAGCCATCCGAATGGTGGGAACAAAACCGCCCGCAAGGCAGAACGTGGAACCGCCCACGCCAGCGGCTCTGTGAAGGATTAACTTGGAAGAGCACCCGGGCATTAAGTGGCGTCCGCCTCCCAATGTTGCCACTTCGCGGGCAAGCCAACGTGTGGCATATCAATGAACTGGCCCATGGTGCAAGCCTGCGCACGCTGCCAACATTGAAAGGCGAATCTCACGTTATGATCTTCTTTGGGCGTGCCGTATGCAGATCATTCACGATGATCGTCTTGTTGATTTTGTTATAACTTGTTTGCCGGCTGTGTGGATGTCGAACCTGTTTGAACGTGTTCCGATCGTTCTGGCGGCAATTGCCTAAGAGCGTTGGCAACCTCTGCCGCTCGGGCAGATGGAATGGGAATCGCGCGGTTCTGGATTCAAAGAATTGTACTTGGATGGATGCCGTGGTCTGTCGCGGCTTCCCTGGGAGGTCAGGGGGGAACGCGAGGGAAACGAACATGAATATTCGAAGGAGGAGGAAAACGAGGAGGGGGGAGGAGCAGGAGGATTAGAAGGAAGAGGCGAGTGAGGATGTTGATGATGCTTCGGCGAAGGAGCGAGAGCTAAGCATTGGCTGGCGACGTGGCGAGAACGCATGTCGTCTTCGTCGTGGTCGCCGTGGTCGCCGTCGTCATCGTGGTCGTCGTCGTCGTCGCCGTCGTCGTGTTCGTCATCGTCGTCGTCGACGTCGCCTTGGTCATCGTCGTCATCGCCCGCCGTTCCTGGCAATAACGGCTGCGTTCTGGGCCTGGGGTCCAGGACCCGCCCGTCGTTGGCGGACGCAACTTTGTGCGGGAGCGCGGTCGCTGTGAAAAACCGCTCATGGCGGCAAACATTGTCGATGTCTGGCGAAACTACTTGACGATTGGACGCGGGCGGGTTCAGGCTCACTGCGTAAATTCATATGCGGGACGCACTTCCCGTTGCCCAGGGACCCCACTTAACGATCGGGCGGTGGCAGGTTTTGTGTGTAAATCACACACGGGACGCACTTCGCGTAAAGTTGCGTGCCCTTGCGCGCCCACTGTACGATGTTTTCCTCGTTTCGCGTGTGAAAAAAAACAGGACGGGAAACATCAATCGCAAAGTTCACATGTTTGATTTTTTGCACAAGGGAACCTTTTTAGATTTTGTATTCGAAGCGATTCCCACTTTACGACTAATGTTTCCAATCCTTTTTGTTCCACACACACCAAACACAGAAACAAACAAAACAAATCGTAAAGTGGGCGCGCCGGGGCACGCCAGTTTACGCGAAATGTTTTCTGCGTTTGGGTTTACACACTAAACCCGCACCCGCCTTATCGTTGAGGTGGATTGCCGGGCGACCTCAACTGCGCCCCGTGCGCGAATTTACATAATAGAGCCCGCCCCCCGCCGGGTCGTCAACGCGGTTCGTGGACAACGCCTCGCAGGTCCCACTGGTCTCGTCAGTCCCGCGGGTCCCCCAGGCCTCACAGGTCGCACAAGTCTCACCCCCACAGGTTTCGCAGGTCCCACTGGTCTCGCAGGTCCCACAGGTCCCACAGGTCCCATTGGTGCCACAGGTCGCATCGGCCACGTGGGTCCCACAAGCTTTACATGTCCCGCAAGGCCCGCAGGTCTCTCGCAGGTCCCAACAAGGCCAACTGTTCGCACTGGCCCCACAGGTCTTGCAGGCCCCACAGCTCCCACAAGTCTCGCAGGTCGCACAGGTCGCACAGGGCCAGCAAAACCCACCGATCCCGCAAGTCGCCCAGGTCCCGCATGTCTCGCAGGCCCCACAAGTCGCGCAAGTCCCACAGGGGCACAAGCCTCACACGTCCCACAGAACCCACAGGGCGGCGCGCTAAAAGACGAGAGGGGATCGCGCGGAAACCCAATACCCAGGCATAATTACCGTATTAGTGATGGATGTCGAGCCTGTTTGGGCGTGCTCCACTCGTTCTTGCGGCAATTGCCTAATAGCGTCGGCGACCTCTGCCGTTCGGGCAGATGGAATGGGAAGCGCGCGGTCCCGAATCCATACAGTTGTACCTGGACGGCCGCCGCGGTCTGTCGTGGCTTCCCTAGGAGGCTAGGGGGGGGGAGCGCGAGGGAAAAGAACATGACTATTCGAAGGAGGAGGGAAACGAGAAGGGGGAGGAGCAGGAGGATTACAAGGAAGAGGCGAGCGAGAATGCTGATGATGGTTTGGCGGAGGAGCGAGAGTTAAGCAGTGGCCGGCGCTGTGGCGAGAACGCATGTCGTCTTCGTCGTGGTCGCCGTGGTCGCCGTGGTCGCCGTCGTCATCGTGGTCGTCGTCGTCGTCGTCGTCGTCGCCGTCGTCGCGGTCGTCATCGCCGTCGTCGTCGACGTCGCCGCGGTCGTCGTCGCCGTCGCCCGCCGTTCCCTGGCAACAGCGGCTGCGTTCTGGGCCTGGGGCCCAGGGCCCGCCCGTCGCTGTCGTACGCAATGGAGCGCGGGGGCGGGCTCGCTGTGAAAAACCGCTCATGGCGGCAAACATTGTCGATGTCTGGCGACACTACTTGACGATTGGACGCCGTTTGGCGGGGGCGGCAAACATTGTCGATGTCTGGCGACACTACTTGACGATTGGACGCCGTTTGGGTTCAGGCCCACTGCGCAAATTCATAAGCGGGACGCACTTTCCCGTTGCCCAGGGACGCCACTTCACGATCGGGCGGTGGCAGGTTCGGTGTGCAGAATCACACACGGGACGCACTTCGCGTGAAGTGGCGCGCCCCTGCGCGCCCACTTCAAGATTTTGTTTTTTTCGTTTCCCCCCGCGCGTCGCGCGTGAGAAGATGGGGCGGGAAGCGTCAATCGTAAAGTGGATTTTTTAATTAAAAAGAACATTCTCTTCGAACCATTTCCCACTTGACGATTGATGCTTCCCGCCGTATTTCCTCGCGCCCCAAACGCGGAATAACCAAATCGTAAAGTGGGCGCACCTGGGCACGCCACTTTACGCGAAGTGCGTTTTGTGTATGAATTTACACACTAAGCCCGCACCCTCCCGATCCGCGAGTGGGATTGCCGGGCGACCTCAATTGCGCCCCGTGTGTGAATTTGCATGATAGAACCCGCCCTCCGCCGGATCGTCAACGCGGTTCGTGGACAACGCCTCGCAGGTCCCACTGGTCTCGTCAGTCCCGCGGGTCCCCCAGGCCTCACAAGTCGCACAAGTCTCACAGGCCCCGCAGGTCTCGCAGGTCCCACAGGCCTCGCAGGTCCCACAGGTCCCACAGGTGCCAAAGGTGCCACAGGTCGCATCGGCCACGCGGGTCCAGCACGCCTTACAGGTCCCGCGAGGCCCGCATGTCTCTCGCAGGTCCCAACAACGCCGGCTTTTTGCGCAGGTCCCACAGGTCTTACAGGCCCCACAATTCCCACAAGTCTCGCAGGTCGCGCAGGTCGCACAGGGCGAGCAAAACCCACCGATCCCGCAAGTCGCCCAGGCCCCGCATGTCTCGCAGGCCCCACAAGTCGCGCAAGTCCCACAGGGGCACAAGCCTCACACGTCCCACAGAACCCACAGGGCGGCGCGCTAAAAGACGAGGGGATCGCGCGGAAACCCAATACCTAGGCAGAATTACCCATCCCCGTGTAAAAAGTTTGGAACGAAAGTGGCACAGGGATGGAAGCCGAAAAGATGCTGAATCAAACCAGGCGAGGCCCGTCGCATCAAGTGACATTCGTCTGTCAATGTTACGGGAGAACGTCTCGTTTGCATTGCGCGTTGCATGTTCGCCATCCGACTGGTGGGAACGAAACCGCAAGGCAGAACGTGGAACCGCCCACGCCAGCGGCCTTGTGAAGGATTAGCTTGTAAGAGCACCCAGGCATTAAGGGGCGTCCGCCTCCCAATGTTGCCACTGCGCGGGCAAGCTAAAGTTTGGCATCTCAATGGCCTGGCCCATGGTGCAAGCCTGCGCACGCTGACAACATTGAAACGCGAATCTCACTATATGATCCTCTATAGGCGTTGCCGTCTGCAGATCATTCACGATGATCGTCTTGTTGATTTTGTTATGACTTGCTCCCCGGCTGTGTATTGCTGCGGGGAGCATGCGATCATATGCCCGGTGCCACCTCCCGCAGCACTCACCACTCAGAGCGCTTGCGAGTTTCGTGCTTGAGGCCTCCCATCCCGCTGCCGCACTCAGGAGAATATGCTTGCCGCTGGTACTAGTGGGCTCGAGGACGTGGCTGCGTGCACAGACGAGCAGTGCGAAGGCAGCGCCGACGCCAATGTGACGGAGGATTGGCACGCGGCGCAAGTCAAGTTGAACATGTTTCTTGTGTCGAGTTGATCATGTGGAAGTTGTGATCCCGCCGGCCCGTGCCTTCCCCGTCTTGGATGTTGACGCCATAGGTTCTTCATTTGGTGCCCCCCCCAATCAGCGGTCGCATGCTGAGTGCAACGTCGCCCTCATTCTCGAGTGTCTGGGCATTTGTGTAGTTGTACGTCGCAAGAGGGTTGGGCACATCAGTGTAGCGCGTTGCGTGTTCCAGGGGTGCTGTACGCCGGTAGAGCAGCACATCCATGGACCATGGCAGGCCTTATGAGCAGTAAGTTGGTTTGCGTGCGAGCGGGGGTTTCATTACGAAAAACGTCAACCCATCCGCCCCATCCTGCCAGCCTGGTGCCAGGGGAGCCACTCGGCCCAACCTCCGCGGCAGCCGTACCCCAAAACAGTCGAGACCCTCTAGTGCCGAGGCACGCCATGCAGCAGAGATCGCATAATGGCCCCAGCACGGCCGCAGTGAGGGCCGCGCTGTTTTAATTACCCGTCCTCTTGTGTCAGGTCAGGTTTCCCAGGATTCGGGGTCACCGCTGGCCATTATGTTTCCAACTCTCCTTTTCCTCGTCGTGCTCTATTTGTTCCCGGCGGACCAGTTGTACGTGTTCACTGTGCACTTCCGGCATTGCGTGACGGATTTCATGTTCTGACCGCGGCTCTTTCTTTTCCGCTTCTCTCCTCTGCCAGGCTCTCTCCGTGCCGCAATTCGTTTCTTCAGCGTCTCTCCCGATGCTTGACCCGTACCTGCCTCGCTGGCGCCCGCAAGCCAAAAAACGTATCATGCCGCTGGGCATTTTGACGATGTTTTTGCGACGCAGCGTCTTCGGGAGGCGTTCTGCCTTGCTTCCGCTCCGCAGGAGGCTGGCATGGACTGCAACAGGTTGCCCCCCGAGGATCCATATTTTTGGATGTGACCGCCGCCGTGCCAGCCCGCTCTGAAGTTACCGCCTCTTATAAGCAGCTCTTCGGTTGGGTGACAGCACAGCGTTTGAAGTGAGTCCTGGTGCGAAGAAGCATGAGTACGATGAGTCTATGATGCGGCAGTGGTCGGCAGAGGTGACGGAGGAACGGTAGCCAGTAGCAGAAATGCAGCTCTCCGTCCTCCTTCCTCTTGTTTAGTGTTCCTTCCCTTTTCCAGTATGTTCTGTCCCCATCATTATTCCTCCCCCCCCCGCATCCACCTGCACAAGTTCCCCAGCCCCCATTCTGAGTCCCCTCCTCTACTTCCTCAACCGTTTTCCTTTATGTAGTCCTTAACATCTTCCTTAGCGTATTCATCCTTCCTTTCCCCTACCCATGGCACGTCCCTTCTCCCGCGTCGGCCCGGCGTGCCATACCACGAGGGGCCTGCGAGGTAGAAAGGCGAGCGGAGAGGGGAGCAAAGGAGGACGCAGATGAGGGGGATGCGGAGCAAGAATATGAGCAGCAGGATAAATAGTTGAAGAACGTTTGGGCGGATTTGACGGCTTAGGGGAAGGATTGGACACCAAGAAACGATGTAGCACAAACCCTGACAAGGAACATGCGTTCAACGGGCAGTGGTTGGACAACACTGACAATTGCTTGGTCAACGTGAGAGGCACAGAGGTGCACTTCCAAGGCGTAGGATATTTGTTTGTCAACAGCAAGGGGAGTCGAGGCAGGGCAAAGAGACGAAGGATATTACATGCCAGAGCAGCGCCATTTATGGTGGTAACATAACACGTAGTGTTCTGCCGTTCGCGCAACGCGCTGGAAAGGTTCAGTTTTGACCACTCGGGAGTGGACGCGTAATACTTACTACTTCCCATATGCTTTGGCGGTCGGGCATATGCATGTGTTTGTGTTGTGTTTTTCCTTCAATTCATTTGCTGGGAATCTGGATTCCCGTGACAAGCGTGACACTAGCAGCTTGTAGGGTTCAAAATGTGGGCAGTGGTATCTGCCATAGCGCCTGACATCCTGGTGTTAAACCACACTGAAATGATTGATCATAAGCTGTATTTCAATGACAATTGGCTATGCTCAGGCCGTGGTGTCTTGGTTATGGTGACACAGGCTTCGCTCGCAGCGATGCCATTCTGGGAATATTTGCATCTTGGTACGGTGGCCAGGTTTTTGCATACTGAATCGGCTCATGCCTCACAGTTTTCATATGGCCAGATACTTTATTCATTGTTGTCGAGTGGCTTCGGTTTGGAAGGTTGTCTTCGCGCGCCCTTTTGGATTGCACGCACGATGACGCCAGCATGATCCAAGTACGGAAAAGGCTAGTTGTGTCGTATGGTCCAATGTACGCCTCTCCGCCTCCCCGATGTTCGTCTTCATCTTCCTCCCTTCTCCTTCTCGTAGTTGGTTGCCTCTAGAATAACAGCGGATTTGTTTCAGCAAGAAGGATCGCAACATTTGTCGCGCTTACCTCGGATCGCTGCCCGCAGGGACCTACCTGTTTGAGGCCGTCAACGACACATTTGCATGCTACCTGCTTGAGGACGAGGTCCTGGAGGGGCAGATCGGTGAAGGAGGCGCACTGTACTGGAGCGACGGCGCGGTGTGGACTCGGACGGGAGAAGGCGGGGGCCGGAGTTCCAAGATTCCGACACCGCGCACACGCGCACACACACAAACACACACGCACACACGCACGACAAAGCATTACAACAGTGCATTGTCTTAGTCAGAGTGATGGGGCCGAGCGGTCGTTCACTGTCCCTGGGCGCGTGGCTGAAGTGGGGTACCGCGGTGCGGATTGTTGTTGCGTTGCTGTTGTTGTCAATATAAATGTAATTGAATTCTCACGACTGAAGAATAATTTTGTTGATCCCCCCTCCGGTAAGCATTGTGTTTTTCAATTGAAGTGTTTCCCCTGGGGCTCGCACCCTGTTTCTTTGATCAGGGCAAGCCGCTAGGTTCAAACTGCGTTGTTGGCCCCGGATTACAACAACAAAAACAACAACCACGGTTTCCGCCTGAGACTTCCTCACAGTTTAGACGGGACCCCCGTTCCCGCCTGAGTCATCCTCGCATTTGACTCAGGAATCGCGCTCTCGCTTGGGATTTCCATGCAAATTATGAGACATCGCTTTCTCGGCGCTCTGGAGTCGCGCTCACGCTGGAGACTCGCTAGCACTTTACTCAAGAATCGCGCTCTTGCGATGGAATTACCCGCAATTGATTCAAGCGCCGCGCCTCCCGACACTCAGGCACCCAGGAGTCGCGCTCACGCTTAGGCCTCCCCCCAGTTTACTTAGGAATCGGGATCTCGCTGCCCTTCGTGGCCCCGTTGCAGCCCTTCGTGGTCTCCTCGCTGCCCTTCGTGGACCCGTTGCAGCCCTTCGTGGCCCGCGCGCTGCTTTTCGTGGCCCCGTTGCAGCCATTCGTGGTCTCCTCGCTGCCCTTCGTGGCCCCGTTGCAGCCCTTCGTGGCCCCCCCGCGGCCCTTCGTGGCCCCGTTGCAGCACTTCGTGGCCCCCTCGCTGCCCTTCGTGGCCCCTTTGCAGCTCTTCGTGGCCCCCTCGCTACCCTTCGTGGCCCCGTTGCAGACCTTCGTGGCCCCCGCGTTGCCCTTCGTTGCCCCGTTGCAGTCCTTCGTGGACCCCTTGCTGCCCTTCGGGGCCCCGTTGCAGCCCTTCGTGGCCCCCTCGCTGCCCTTCGTGGCCCCGTTGCAGCCCTTCGTTGCCCCCTCGCTGCCCGTCGTGACCCCATACATGTATGCGCTTCGTGGCCTCCGCTCGTTCGCGCCCGTCGTGGCCCCACATGCATGCCCTTCGTGGCCCCGCTGTCGCCCTTCGTGGCCCCCTCGCTGCCCTTCGTGGCCCCGTTGCTGCCCTCGGTGTTCCGTCCTTGCCATCTGCCGCCCAATATACGTGTGCCCCTCGATCCCCCCGCTCATTCGCACCCGTCGTGGCCCCATATGCATGCCCTTCGTGGCCCCGCTGTCGCCTTTTGTGGCCCCCTCGCTGTCCTACGTGGCCCCGTTGCTACCCTCAGTGGCCCCGTCGTTGCCTTCTGTGCCCCCGCATTATCTGCCCTTCATGCCCCCCGCTCGTCCGCGCCCTTCGTGGCCCCATACGCATGCCCTTCGTGGACCCGCTGTCGCCCTTCGTGGCCCCCTTCCTGTCCTTCGTGGCCCCGCTGTCGCTCTCGCTCTCGCTCTCGCTTTCGCTCGTCGTCGCCGTCGTCGCCGTCGTCGTCGTCGTCGTCGCCGTCGTCGCCGTCGTCGTGGTCGGTCCCCTGTCCGTCCCTCTTGGGGCCGGGCTGCCGCCGATCAGCGTTGCCACTTGCCGGGGCCTGGCCTGAAGGGAAGAAGTATATACCTCCACAAATGGGTACGATCGAAGACGAAGAGGGCGCGTATCGAGGGTGTGGGAGACATGCGTTGAATGACACTCGAGTGTGCACATTGTTGGTTCCCCCACTGGTGCACATTGTGCTTTTCAATTGAAGTGCACCCCTCGGGGCTCGCACTCTGTTTTTACCCACACCCTTTGGTTGGGGATTCGTTTTGAATTCTTGATGCTTCGCGTTGGCCGGATCGGACGGCTCTCCCCCGTGCGGGCGGGCGTGCTCCGGTCGCGAGATCGATCGATCAGGCATTTCTGTCCCTACCAACCTTGCGGCTGTCAGCTGCTTTCTAGTCGTACCTCGATCGGATCGCACCCCAGAAGAAGTGTCTCCCAGCGGCGTGGCTGGCCGCCACCAGACTGGAGACGAGGTTGGCGGCCCAATCCCCCCATGGCCTGCAAGAGCGGGCCCTTCAGAAGCGGCGGAAGAAGAGGATGTCCTGAACCCCCCCAGTGGGAGCCGCCTGGTCGCTTCCTGGCAATGTGGCTGTCAGCCACCGCCCACTTACGCAGGCGGCCTCATTGGGTACTGGGACTCGTGAGGGCGCTGCAGCGCTGCACTTTGCGGCCCGCCCCCCGCCCGCCTCCTGGTCCCCGTCCCCCACGGTTACTGCGCTCCACTTTGCGGCTGTCAGCTGCTTTCCCCCCGCCCGCCCCCCGCCCGCCTCCTGGCCTCCGTCCCCCACGCCCGCCCCCCGCGTGTTCTCCTCCATTACTGTGCGACTGTGAGTCGCCCCCACTGTTTCTGACAACGTGGCGGTCAGCCACAATCCACCTACGCAGGCGGCCTCATGGGGCGCAGGGACACGTGTGTGCGCTGTTGCGGGAGAACCGAGACGACAGGGCTGCCAACCCCCCTCTGTCTCAATCGATTGTGCGGCTATCAGCTGGCAGCCACGAGGCGAGGCTGCCCTGCCAGACTCGGAGCCCGCCGCCGATGCCCCCCCCCCCAGGCCTCAGTGCAGCCCCTGGTGGGGCCCCCCCAGGACTCAGCTCCCCCCCATCGGACTCAGCGGAGCCTACTCTGACCCACCCGTGCAGGCTGCTGGTCTGGCCTCTGTGCTGCCCCCTGTGGAGCCCCCCGGGCCCCTGCGTCCCCGCCCCTGGCCTCCGCGGAGCCACCCCCGCCAAGCTGTCCTCTGTGTGGGCCTGACGGCGTGCACGTCGGGAGATCCCCCTGGCCAGGGCTTGCACAGTGTGGCCAGGGTCCGCCCCGAGCAGGACACAGTCGTGCCGCACCACGCTCCCCTCTAGGGTGAACAGCGGCACGGCGCGAACGGGCACGTCAGGGACAATCAAACACCGCGTTGACCGAGGCTTGTACTTCGACGACTCGTACGACCGGCACAGCAAGTCGACCAGCAACACAACTGCATCTTCCACCACCTGGGCATCCAGTGCACGACGCTCGCAGTGCGGCTCAGACGACCGACAGCGCGGCCTCGAGCAGCACGGTCACGACCAGTACGGTCCCGAGCAATGCGGCGTCCACGGCCACTTCCCCGGTGAACTCCGCGACGACATCGAGCAGCAGCGTGAGCGGGGGCGAGACGAGCAACGCAACGTTGGGCAGTACGACTCGAGTGCGACACAGTCAGCATCACGCCGGCCATTATTACGGTGAACGGCGGCACGACGCTTACGGATACGACAAGGTCACTCCATCCCACGTTGGCCAAGGCCAGTACCAACGGCTCTAGCAGCACGACGGCGAGCTCAAGCGCGGCCCGCACCACAACTGCATTGTCCACACAGCACCCACGCCAAACAGCACTACGGTGTGCAGCGGCACGACGCTGACGGGTACGGCAGGGCTATTCCGCACCACGTTGCACAGGACATGGTCTTCGACGACTTGACGAGCGGCCCCGACAGCAGGACGGCCAGCTCGTACGTGACCTGCCACACAATGGATGGTCCACCACCGTGATTTCCAGTGCATCGTTGTCTAGCAGTATGTCTTAGACGACCAGTAGTGCGCGTCGTCCACGGCCACCTCCACAATGACAGTGAGCACCAGCGTGCGCGTGGGCGTGATGAGCAGCGCAACGTCGTGCTGCACGACTTCGGGTGCGGCACAGTCGAGCAACACCACGCCGGCCAACAATATGGTGAGCAGCGGCACGACGCTGACGGACACGTCAGGATCACTCCTACTACGGTGACCGAGACGAGTACTTTGTCGGCTAGTACGGACACCACCAGCAGCACGACGGCTAGTTCGAGAGGGACCAGCAGCACAGCTGCATCGTTCACCACGAGGGCGTCCAGTGCGCCGTTGTCTAGCGGTACGTCTCAGACGACCAGCAGCGCGACCTTGAACAGCACGGTCACGATCAGTACGGTCTCGAACAGTGCGGCGTCCACGGCCACCCTTACGGTGAGCCCCACGTCGGCGCTGAGCAGCAGAGTGAGCGGGGTCGAGACGTGCACCACAATGCCGTCAGTACGATGCCGAGTACGACACAGTCGAGTTTCCCCACGCCGGCCAGCACCACGGTTAGTTGCGACGCGACGCTGATGGACACGACAGGGTCATCCCATTCCACGCTGGCCGAGGCGCGTCCTCGACGGCTCATATGAGCAGCACCAACAGCACGATGGGTGGCTCGAGCGTGGGCAGCAGCACCACGGCTTTGTCCGCAAGTCGACTTCTAGTGCATCGTTGCCTAGCAGTTCGTCTCAGATGACCAGGGCGACCGGAGCAGCACGGTCACGAACAGTACGGCCTCGAGCAGTCCGACGTACATGACCACTTCCACAGTGGGCTCCACGTTGGCATTGACCTGCTGCGTGAGCATGGTCGAGTGGGGCAGCGCAACCGAGCAGACGATCTCGAGCGCGACATAGTCGAGCAGCGCCGTCCGGCCAGTACCACGGAGAGCAGTGGCACGACGCTGACGGGTACGACCAGGTTTACTATACCACGCCGTCCTCGAGTACCACGGTCACGGCCAGTACGGCGGTTTGGAGCAGTGCGCCGTCCACAGCCACCTCCATGGTGAGCTCCACGACGGCAGTGAGCAGCAGCGTGAGTGGTTGAAACCAGAAGCCCAATGTCGGACAGTACGTCTCGTGGGCGACACTATCGGGCAGCAGCACGCCGGCCAGCACTACGACGAGCAGCGGCACGACACTGACGGATACGACAAGATCCTAACATACCACGCTGACGGAGACAGGACCGAGGCGAACTTAAACGGCTTGCACGAAGGGCACCAACAGCACGACGGCCAGCTCGAGGGTGGCCAGCAGCACCACTGCATCCTCCACCACCTTGACTTACAGTGCTTCGTTGTCCAGCAGTACGTCTCAGACGACCTGCAGTACGACCTCCGCGCACGGTGGGCTCCACGACGACATCGAGCATAGTACGAGCGGCACCAGCAGCACGGCGGCCTGCTCGAGCGTGACCGAGAGCGGACTGCACCGTCCACCACCTTGGCTTCAGTCAATAGGTGTCTAGCAGTACGCTTCAGACGACCAGCAGCACGACCTCGAGCAGCAGGGCCCCGTCCAGAGTGTCCCGAGGAGTGCCACGGCTGCGGCCACCTCCACACCTCCACGGTGAGCTCCACGACGGTACTGAGCAGCAGCTCGAGCGCGGTCGTGGCGAGCCGCGCAACGTCGAGAAATACGACTCGAGTGCGACACAGTCGAGCTGTACCACGCCGTCCAGCACTACGGTGAGCAGCGGCACGATGCTGACGGATGCGGCAGGGTCATACAACACCACGCTGCCCTGGACGAGGTCTTCGGCGGCTAGTACCAGCGGCTCCAACAGCACGACGGCCAGCTCGACGGTGACCTGCCGTACAACTGGCCTGTCCCTCCTCACGTTGGGGCCAGCCCCAGACGGGGCCCCTCGGCGCGCCACTTCGGCTCCGCGCCTAATACCGCCTCGGGTGCGCCTAGCTGGGGCTGCTGGCTCGCCCATGGCCCTCAGGAGACCTTTCCTCCTGGCCACTTTGCGGCCTCTCGCCCCCTGGCTGATCGCCGCCCCCCATGGCCCGCCTTAGGCGCCGCCCAGCGGCCCTGGTCCTCCCTCCCGCGGTGTGACCCGTACTGCTAGATCCCTCGCGGCAACAGGACTCGCTGCCTGACGCTGCACGCTCACGCGCACTTCGGCTGTCAGCCCTTTCTCCCCCTCTCGGCTGCCTCGGCCCAGTGCCTAATATCACCTTACCGGATGTGCGCTGGGCCCCCCCCGCCGCGGGCCGCGCCCCGCCGCCCCCGGCCTGTCTCTGCTGCCGCGCGGGCCGGTCCCGCCGCCCCCGGCCTCTCGCTGCTGCCGCCGGCACCCCTGCCTGCAGGTCCTCGATGCCCCCCCGGGGCGTCGCGGCCGGCGCCGGCGGCCCCCTCGGCTGGCGGGTGCCGCTCGCGCGTTCGGGGGCGTCTGGCATCGTGCCCCACCCGCGCCGGTCGTGTCTTGCCCCCAGGAGCTTGGCGATGCTCCTGCTCGGCGCCCCGCCGCCTCTGCCAGTGTTGCCTGGGCCGCCTTGCTGCCCTGCTCCCGCTCGGTGCTCTCCCCACCCGCAAGGGGTTTCGTCCGCTTGCGCTCTTGACCTCCTCTGGCGATCTGGTTCTTCCGTCGAGCGCCTGCACGGTCGCCCTCCTCGACTACGCGGTCGTGGTCTTTGTCTTCCTCGTGGACGTGGACGTGGCCTTCGAGGACTTGGGCATTAATTACCTCGCCATTTTGGCGCTGCGTGTGGACCAGTTCCTCCTGGTCTTCTACGGTTTCGTCGTGTTCGACCTGTCTTTCAGCGTCTTTCTCGCCACCTGAGCCGCAGCGTAGTTCGCTCCTGCGTGCTCAGCACCTAATTTAAAGTTTGGCGCGGCTACCTCGTTTCTCTTCGGCGCGGGGTCGTACCGCTTGCGCTCGCGATCAAAAAAGTATCCCCGCCAGGCCATCCAGAAACGATCAGCAGGGGAGTGGGTGAATCAGGGTCGGCTGGAAGCATGCAGTTGCGCGGCCGTCTTCAGAGAAAAACAGGGATCACGCATAGTTTCCCGCATTGTAAATTAAGATGGGAATCGGTGCGAGATGCGACGTGGTGCTCCCCGTGGTAAACGCCTCTAGCGCAAGTGGTTGCATCCACCCTGGGCCATGGGAAACAAGGATTACGCATAGCTTCCCGCAGCGAAGTTTAAGATGGAAGCCGGTGCTAGATACGCCGGGGTGTTCCCTGTGGTAAGCGTCTCTGGCGCAAGCGACTGTATCTATCAGCCGTCGCCCTTGTCGCACAGTTGAGAGTCGCATCCCCGTATGCATCCTTGACCTCTGCCCCCGCACTGGAGTTTCTCTGGAATTCGTGTGCGGCTGCTGGTGATGGGGGTGGTGGTGGTGGCGGTGGTGGTGATGCTGCCGGCGTTGGTGTTTGTGGTGTTCTGTTGCCCTCTTGGAGCCATCTTGGAGCAACTGGTGCTGCTGGTGCTTGTGATGCCTGGGGACAGATTGGGGGTAAGAGGAAGAGTATGAGGAGGAGGAGGAGGAGGAACAGAAAAGGAGGAGGGTAAGGAAGAGGATGAGCAGGAGGAACGTGGCGCGAGGAGGATGAAGAGGAGCAGAGGGGCCAGTAGGAAAGAAGCAAGGAAGGAACGGACGATGATACGGAGGACGAGAAATCAGGTTTTGGGAATTGTTTTTGTTGCGAGAGGTTCTTGGGGAACTCTTGGGGCCATTTTACGGGCTCTTGGGCTCCCCGCGGGGCTCTCCTGGGGCTTTCTTGGGGTATCTTGCGGCTCTCTTGAGGCTCTTCTGGGGAGTCTTGGGGCCCTTTTGGGGCTTTTCGGGGGGGGTCAGGGAGGCCTCTTGGGGCCGTCTTGGGCCCGTTCGCTCAAAAAGAGGGAGTCTTAAATTTTTGACGCTTCGCGTATCCCGACCAGCTGTCGACCTTATCCATCGTACTCCTGGTTGGCAGCATCAGGCGTGTGGCCGATTCGTTCGGGTTTTCGGTGTCGATTCCTTCCATCGTTTTCCTGGGTGGCTCTTCCTTCCTCTCGTTCTCGGAGAAGGGATTGCCCCGGATGTTTTCTCTCAGGAGTGAGTGTGCGGTTTCGGTGGCGCCACTCGTACTGATTCCGCACTAGGCTGCTTCCTCTGGCGCCCAGAGCCCGAGGTGCCCGTTGGAGGCAACACTGGTCTCCCACCGTGGGAACTGATGCCTGCCCTCTGGACCCAGCGAAAGTGGAATGCCAGCTGGTCCTGCAGGAGGTGCCTCACGCACATCTGGAACGGGGACCCTGGCACG